GCAGGCTCTGGAGCCCCCCCCCCCACACCTGGGTTCAAGGCGGTGGGGCAAGGGAGCTGCGTGGAGCCACAGTTCCACTGGCTGGCCTGTAATTGTCAATATATTTAGAAAACTATACCATGGTTATCTCTTGTGATGGTTTATATAAGTAAAAAGCAAGGCAGAATACAACCTTAAAATTTTTACTGATTTTTTAAATGGTAAAGCTCACAAACAGAATAGTATAAAAGCATGTAAAGCTAAAAATGACGTGTTATTTTTTTAAGGAGACCACAATGAAAAAGGTACTTTCATGATGTCAGTCTTGGGCTTAAAATTCTTTGTGCCAGAAAAGTTCTTCCTACATAAGCAGAACGTCTAACTGGAGAGACTGGCACCTCTTTTCAACATCAAACACTGGATATGTAAACAGCTTCTCCTCCCACACTCTCTCCCTGGTCAAGCTCTACGTGGAGTGTCCCAATAGAAAAGAGAAAATGCTGTTGGGTGTTGTTCAACTACTATTTTGGCTGCTGTTCTCTACTGTATATTCAATTTAAGAGATTTTTGGAGGCATTTATATAAGCAGGAATTTTCCTCCTGAGCTGAAATTAGAAACTGTACAGATTTGTTGTGATTTAACCATAAACAAAGGAATCAATGAATGAGAGAATCAATGGTGGGCTCCCCTCTGCCCTCTGCCACCTCTGTCATCCCTATCCCCATCTCTGCTCCTGCTCCACTTCTGTCTCCCTCTCTTTCTCCACCCTGTGACCTTTAGACATTCAGGAAACCTCCACCAACTCTCTGATCTCCAGTCTGTCTAGACTTTTGTTGGTAAAATCTACTTTCATATAAATGTTCTATATTAATTGATACTGAGTTGTGCAAATGAATCCAGCAATATCTGTAGTAAACTCTTGGCATCTTGTTCACTCTCACTTATACCTTTTAAAAAATTCTTCAGAGATATTTGTGTCATTTGATTTCTTTGCTCATAACTTAAATGATGGTGCAGTTCAGGGATGTGAATATGAGGAAAGATGTCACTTTTGGGGAGGAGAAGTCAGTGAAGCAGAACATCCATTGAGTCACATGCACTTTGCCAGTCCCTCACATGTCACACCTCAGCATTTCCTGCTCTCCCTCATGTGAGATTCTGTCTGACTCCTGGAATCGTGAAAAAGAAAGAGTCTCTCAAAAGTTCTCCAGTAGTCTCTTGAGAGATGCTAACAAGGAACTTGTAATTGCTCTTGGTAATTAGCAACTGAGGAAAGAGTTTTCAGGATCATTTTCATCTCCCCAGCCTGCCCTCCCACTGATGCTTCAGGTGAAATGATAATTGCAGTTCTTAGGGGAGATGAGGTCACAGAACCACAGACCCATATCTCAGAGTCTAGCTGCCCTCTCCCAAACCTGAACTGGCTGCCTTGACATTCACGCTGAGCCCACCATCCAGGTTGCAGGGAGAAGACAGTGAGTATTCTGTATCTTGCTCTGAGAGTTAGAATCTGTAAGGGAAGGAAGCATATCAGAAGTCTGGGTAAAAAGTCATATTGGAAAAAGTGATTCTTCTGGGTCTGAGCTTGGCCCAGTGCCAAAGCCATAGAGGAAGAAGTAATTCTGAATCATGAACTGAGCTAGTGAGGAGAGATGGGTTCCTAGCTCCTATGCCCATCTCTGATGGCTCCTAGTGTAATAGGGTGTAATTCACAATGACAGTGATTAATCCAAGTAATAAGACAACCTGAATTTTAATGTTCAAGGACTGTAGTTCTGAAATCAATCTGCTATTCTCCTAAATGACAGCAGTCACAGTCATAATTTTCAAGTTTATTAAAGGGGTGCCCATAAGAAGTACATGCTTGTAATAAAGAAGAGAAAAGTTCTACAGGAATCTTTTAATCCTGTGCAGAAACTGTGGGACTAATAGAAGTTGCTGGAATTAGATGTTTTCTCTATGTCTAGGAGTCTAAAGTGTTCAGTGGATTCAGTTATTGTGTCCTTTGATTCTGAAGACACTTTTCTCTCAAAGTTAGAGAAGCAGCATGTAAGGAAAAAATAAGTTTATAATGATCAGTTTCAGAGACTATCTGAAAGTCTCAAATGTGTCTTGCAATACGAGGGCCCTTCTAAAAGTTAATGGAAGGATGTGTACTATCTTTTAATTCTATTTTCCCATGAATATTTTGATGTATCCTCATATTTCCTCTGTTTGAAAGTATAATACCAATTCAAATATTTATTTTAATTTCTACAATATGCAATATTTTTGCCTGAACATTGCATTTTGCCTGTGTCTTATATGTCACTATTTCTCACAAATAGTGCCATATTGTTAATAATTTTATGTAACTCAGATATTAATAAATAAGTATATGATTTGAAATAATTGATAATTTTGTTTGTCCCATGTACTATTTTATCAAACATCAATGTTTCATGTCCCATACTTCCTGTGATTTGTGCTACTGAAAGTTTAGTCCTGGGATAAAACCAAACAAGTCTTTCTGCTGCCATCCTAATATCAAGCCATCCCTGCATTGTGTAAACCCACCTCCTCATGATGCAGATTCCTGTAGGATTATACTGCAATCTGTGCATCTACATTTTACTAGGGTATCCAAAACTTCACTCAGAAATTATATCGGCCTATTGAGTAAGTTCTTATAAGTGAACAGACACTTGTTACTACCAAAATTATAAAATAAAATAGCAGCAATAAAATAAAATGACAAGGTACAAAATCAAAATGAAATGTATACTTTTTTTTTTTTTAAGAATGCAGCTAACTAGATTCTTACTATGCCATGGATTAAATACAGTATTACTGCTACCAGCACAGCCTGGATATAATCCTCTGCACCTAGCAGGGTGTGAATTTATATGAAACACTTGACTTGTCTGAGCTTACGTTCTCTTCATGTTTATAAGGAAAGTAATAATAGTGCCTGCCTCATTGCAAGTGCTATTTAATGCTTATACATTCAACCCTTGGAAGCCTCTAAATGATGAAAAAACTTAAAGTATTTTTTTGCTGCATGAGTGTATTTGTCCACTTCTGTTGCTTATAACAAAATATCTGGAACTGTGCAATTTGTGAGAAAATGAAATTTATTGCTTACATTTTCTGAGGCTGGGAAGTCCAATGTCCAGGGAACACATCTGGTGAAGGTCTTCCTTGTCGGTGGCTTCAGTGACACAGGATATCACATTGAGAAATGATGAATCAAAGAGAGAGACTAACCTCCTCATTCACTCACCTTTTTAAAGACACCAGAACCACTCGTATTATTCCCAAAACGGGTCAATCCACTCATTTGACATGATACAAGTAGCCCACATATGATATTCCCATGCAGGATCCTTTAGCTCAGAAGACAAATAGTAACTGAAAACTAACAGGATGGCCACCAGGAATGTGGCAGTAGGAACAATCGTCTTATTACAGAGTGTATTTGGAATCCTGGGGAATTCTTTTCTTCTTTACCATTATCTCTTTCTTTATTTCACTGGGTGCAGGTTAAGGACCACAGATTTGATAGTGGAGAACCTGCTTATAGCCAACATTTTGGTTATTTTGTCTAGAGGAATCCCCCATGCAATGATATCATTTGGGTGGCAACATGTCCTCAGTGATCATGAATGCAAGTTCATTTCCTATGTGCACAGAGTGGGCAGAGGTGCATCCATTGGCAGCACCTGCCTCTTGAGTGTCTTCCAGGCCATTATGATCAGTCTCAGAAACTCCAGGTGGGCAGAGCTCAAAATCAAAGCTTCCAGGTTCATTGGCCCCTCTATTTTCCTGTGCTGGACCTTGCAAATGCTACTAAATGTCATTTTTCCTATGTATGTGACTGGGAAATTGAGCAACAAAAACATCACAAACATGAAAGATTTTCAATACTGTTCTTCTGTTCGTCATGATAAAACTGAAGACTGGTTGTATGCAGCATTGCTGTCATTCCCTGATGTGTTGTATCTGGGGCTCATGCTCTGGGCCAGCAGCTCCATGGTTCTGGTCCTGTACAGGCACAAGCAGCAGATGCGACACATTCACAGGAACAATATCTCCCCCTTGTCCTCCCCTGAGTCCAGAGCTACCAAGACCATCCTTCTCCTGATGAGCACCTTTGTCTTCTTTTACACCCTCGCCTGCATCTTTCAAGGTTGTTTGGCTATTATTAATAAACCCAGTTGGTTCCTGATGAACAGCACCTCAATAATTGCTGGGTGTTTCTCTACTATCAGCCCCTTCCTGCTCCTGAGCTGTGACTCCAGTGCATTCACCCTCTGCTTTTCCCGGATAAGCCATAGAGAATCCCTGAATGATTGAGGAACATGTAAATTGTGTGATTTTGCACATAGTTCAAGTGGTGATTTACTTGTTCCCCACAGAATCATGTGTAACACTCATTTCACAAGATAGTGGTGGGATAACATACAAACTTATGTGCATACACATACATACATTTGTACATTGTAACTGTGTGTATGTGTGAGTGTATATATGCATGTAAGTGTGCATGTTTGCATGCATATATATTACACTGTGATGGTTACCTATCAAGGAATAATACTGGGAATTTGTATATAGAATTTAAAATAGTGCTAGTTACAATAACGACAATCTGTTTTACTAAGGTGCATTTTAGCTGATATTTATCTTGGCAATTTTAGTTAATTAGCTGGTTAAATTACATGCAATGTACTTTTTCTTTATCTACTTTGTTTCTTGTATCTTAGCTGTTATCTCTTGAAAAAATTAACAAGTGGGGGGCCGGCCCGGTGGCGCACTGGATAGTGCGCCGCTTGGGAAGCGCAGTGGCGCTCCCGTCCGAGGGTTCGGATCCCACATACAGACCGGCTCCCGCTCACTGGCTGAGCGAGGCGCGGGAGCAGCGCCGAGGCTTGCGATCCCGTTGCCGGTCCCCAGTCCGGTACGGGGGCAACACTGAGGGTTGCGATCCGTTGCCGGACACGGAAAAAAGACAAAAACAAAACAAAAAAAAAAAAAAATTAACAAGTGAATACAGTGAAGCAACATCTGACTTTAACAGGAGTAATTGCTCCTTTTTGTCTAATATAATAAGGGACATATTTAGGAAGCATTTATTAGCATATCATGTGGTTTTCCTGACAGTTTTTTATTTTCTTATTTTTCTATGTTGATTCTTTCCTGTATTGATTTAATTTAAAAATTCTATTTTACCCCTGTTTTTTTGGGTGTCATGTACTTACTAATGCTTTGATTTCAACCTAGAAACTACAGGGTACTGGGCCGGCCCTGTGGCGCACTGGATAGTGCGCCGCTTGGGAAGCGCGGCGGTGCTCCCGTCCGAGGGTTCGGATCCCACATGCGGACCGGTTCCCGCTCACTTGCTGAGCGGGGCATGGGAGCAACACCGAGGGTTGCGATTCCGTTGCCAGTCCCCGGTCCGGTATGGGGGCAACACTGAGGGTTGCGATCCGTTGCCGGACTCGGAAAAAAAAAGACAAAAGACGGAAAAAAAAAAAAAAAAGAAGCTACAGTGTACTTTAAAAAACTAATCATATTCTAAACATATTGAATACCTTTATTCTCAAAATAGGCAATATAAAGATATTATATGCTAAATTTTTACCTTCTTACAACTTATTTTTTAATTACTGTATGTATTTTATATCTCCCTTATTGAAATTCAAATTTTATTATTATTATTATTATTATACCATAAAACAAATCTTAACATATTTAAAAAGACCAAGATCACAGACAATATGTTCTCTGACCACAATAACAGAAGAAAATTTGGAAAATTCACAAATGTGTGGAAATTAAATAACACTCTCCTAAATAAGCAATAGGTAAAAAGGAAAATCACAGGGAAATTACAGAGTACTTTGAGATAAAAATGAAAGCACAATGTATCAAAATGTATAGGATGCAGGGCTCATTCAGTGCTTAGAGGAAAATTTATACTTGCAAACACCTATATTAAAAATAAGAAAAATCTCAAATCCGTAATGTAAACTTCTGCCTTAAGGAAATAGACAAAGAGAAGCAAACTAAACCAAAAGCAAATATGAGTAGGAAATAAGAAAGATGACAACAGAAATATATGAAATAGGGAATTAGAAAATGGTAGAGAAAATCAACAATACCAAAAGTTGATTCTTTAAAAAGATCAACTTAACTTGCAAACTTTTATCTAGATTGACCAAGAAGAAAAGAGAGAAAACCAAAATTACTAAAATCAGAAATAAAGCAGGGGCATTATTACATTGTCATTATGGATTTTGGGGGTGGTAAGACTCAGTTTCTTTCTCTTTCTCATTTGCATTTTTGTTCTACAAGTGGGTTTTGTTCCTTCTTGTGTATTCATGGTACTGATTATCATTTTTTGGATTCCAGTTGCAGGACTTCCTTGAGAATTTTTTGTAGGGCTTGTTGTATGGTGGTGAACTCCCACAGTTTTTGTTTGTCTGGAAAATACACTATTTTTCCCTTGTTTCTGAAGGATAGCCTTGCTGGGTAGCTGATATGTATATTCAAAACATTTTATGCACAGGCCATGAATGAACTTCTCCACAGAATTTCACAAACTGAACACATTCCTGTATGCAGATCCTATGTCAAAAAACAGAATATTGTCAGCCTCTCAGGTGCCCCCTCATGTCCCTCCCAGTCACCCTCCTTAAGATGACCACTGTTGTGACATCTAATAGCATAGATCACTTTCACCTTTTTTGTACTTGTTATAAATGGAATAATTCAGCATGAACTGTTTTATATTTGTCTTTTCAAATTTTGTTTGTGAATTCTGCATATTGTTGGTGATAGAATCATAGGGTGTGTATATGAAACGATGAATTTAATCATTCCTATATTGATGCACATGTGAGTGATTTTCAGTCTGGGGCCATCATGAACAGTGCTGGTTTGTGAGTTCTGCAACATGTACTGATGACACATGCATTGATTTCTGTTAGGAATATATGTAGTGATAGAACTGTTGGATTGTAGGTTAACATCTACTCAGCTTTAGGAGATACTGCCAGACAGTTTTCCAAAATAAGTGCATGAATTTCACACTCAGAAGTTCTTAACTGTAATACACTATCATTTGTGATGTCATTTTTTAGGGTTAATATTTTGTGTTTGTTAAAAAGTGTTTGGCTATTATAAGGTCCCAGAGATATTCTTTTTTGTTTTCTTCTGAAAACATCACTTTGCACCTTTAAAATTTACATCAGTAATTCTTTCAGAATCAATTTATTATAAGTGTGGGTAGTGAATAGTCTCTTTTTTCTCACCAAGCTAGTAGATTTCAATGTTTTTCTGAAAATGTTGTATTTGACTTTCTTTTTATTTGCTCTCACTTGTCATTGCCTCATCTGGGTTAATCTCACGTTCCCCTCAGAAATGACATTTCTATCCAGTCTTCTGGTAATTCTGTGTCTTCTTGCCTCTTTCAGTATTTACAACTTCACTACATCATACCATCAAGGTTAGACTTTGTGTCAAAATCATCAGTGAGACAGGATGTTGGAAAGTGGTGGGGTGGGAAAGTCCAGGAATCCTTCTCCCCATGTAAGTGACAAGTGCACTGGAAGAATCTGTCTGATGTTAATATTTTGCAACTCTGGAATATACTGGCTATTGTCTTGTATATTCCAGAGAAAAGCTTGGGCAGTAAATTAAATTCCACAGCTACCCATCACTCATGTTCCAGAGCCATGGCAGGCACTGAGACACGTGTTCCTGCAGCACCTTGGGAAGCCGAAGTGTGCATTAAAAGATCTGCCCTCCAAATGTCAGGGATCTGCATTTGGATTGTTGAGGGATGCTAGTGGCCTTGCAGGTTCAGACACAGAGGCAGGCAGCCATTGCTGCACCCACCTCCCCCTGATGAGAGCCTCTCTTTTTTCCCCCTCTGGGGACTTAAAGGGCCAGAACAGTTTTTTCACCTTTCATTTTTTCTCTTTCACCCTATTGGTATCCAGATGTTTAAGAACTAGCAGTATTCAAAAGCAATTGCATATAAAAGGGAAATTAGGAAATATCCATGCATGCCTAGGTAAAGGTACAAGGTTAGAAAAGCCCTGAGAAGATCTTACGTTTACATCCAGGCTGATTTCCATTTACAGACACAACCTACAAGAATCAAAAAACTGAAACCAAAAAAAATCAGCATACTCTGAGGAAAGATAAAATGTGATTCACAGAGTTACCACATTATTAAATTCAAATGTTCAGTGTTGAACTAGTATCATTTAAATAGGTTCCCCAAAAAGCATATGTCGTAAAGTTAATTTCCAATGCAACAGTGTAAAGGCATGGGACTTTTAAGAGGTGATTAGGCCATGAGGGCTCTGCCATCATGGACAGATTAATGCCATTATTTTTGGATAGCTTCCTTATAAAAAATGAGCTTTTTCCTCCTCCTCCTCCTCTCTCTCTCTGTCTCTCTCTGTCTCTGTCTCTCTCTCTCTCTCTCTCTCCCCCCCCACCGTGGTCTTTTTGTACTTCTGCACTGTGATGTTCTCTTCCGTGTTATGACACAGCAGGATGTCCCTCACCAGATGCCAGCACCTTGGACTTCCCAGCTTCCATAACTATGAGAAATAAACTTCTGTTCATTGTATATTACCCAGTTTGTGATATTCTGTTACAGAAGCACAAAACATACTATGACATGAACAACAACAACAACAACAAAATCACAAGGACTATAAAGAAACAGGAAAGTATGTCCTATTTGAAGGGGAAAAAGGGGCAACTGTCCATGAGACAGACCTGATGGTGAAACTTATACAAAAAGACTTTGAAACAACTTTGTTAATGTAATCCCACTTATTTATTCTTGCTTTTGTTACCTGTGTTTTTGGTGTTATATCCAAGAAACCATTGTCTAGGCAATATCCAGAACATTTTCCCGTGTGTTTTCTTCTAGTAGATTTATGGTTTTAGGTGATATGTTTAAGTCTTTAACCCATTTTGAGTTTATTTTTGTGTCTGGTGTAATGTAAGTGTCTAATTTTATACTTTTGCATGTTAATATCCAGTTTTTCCAGCACCATATGTTCGAGAGATTATCTTTTCCCCATTGTGTATTCTTGGTACCCTTGTCAAAGATCAATTGACTGTATATTTGTGGGTTAATTTCTAGGCTGTCTGTTCTGTTTCATTGTTCTATATATACTAGTGTTTCTATGCCAGTACCACACTGGTCTCCCCCACCCCCCATTTTCAAGGAAGTACAATTGACATTCAAAAAACTACACATAGAGAGTTCTAGTCAAGATGGTGGAATAGACAGTCCCCAGTGTCACTCTCTCCCACAAATCAACAAA